AAATTTATTATATGTAATTTTATTAAATAATTTTATAATTTATCTTATAATTTACATAGTGTTTAAGTCATGTTTTGACATTTTGTCTTTTTTTAATGCTCAATCATTTTATTTCAGGACAAAAATCATAATACAAGATTTTCAATATAAAATTGTATTTTTTTTACAAATATATATTTATAATTTATGATATGTCTCTGATTCTGTATTGTTTTATAAATAACTCAACCTCTAAACTTGGCAAAATTATTTTTAAATATGTGTTTGCTTTATGCCTCTCACAATTTTTAAAATTAAAAACGTATTTTTATAGTTTATATATATCAGATGTTTACCTAAGAACCTTGATGTAAAAAATATGGGAATTTTGCCTATAATATAGAAGATAAAGCCATTGTATTAAACTAACAATATCAAGTTAGTTTTATTTATTTAAAAATTATGTAAATAAATATTTTGTTTTGAACTGGGTTTGTAGTTTACAATATTGTGCCAAATCCTCACACTTTAGTCTGTTTAGCAGAGACAATTATAAAATGACCTGACCAGTAAACCCAGGGGAAAATATATGTTGATAATTTTGATATTTTTAAAATTTTATTAATAATTGGTTAATTATATGTGTTGCACAACCCATATCTAGAACATATTCTTGGTTCACCACCAAATCCCCATTTTCTCCTCCCCACATTCCCTGGCAGCCACCATTCTGCTCTGTGTCCCTGGAATTTGTATATTTGAGGACCTTATGATTTCAAACTGAAAACTTGGTAAGAGCCAATACCACAGTGAATATAAAATTGCCATAAAGTAGAAGGGTGACCTTAGACACTCTCATTACTTATAGCTTGTTGGGAAATCTTTTGAGAGGATGACATTCCTTGGAAATTTGGGGGCTTTGAAGACTAAGTGGAGCTCACCAAGACAAATGGAAGGAGAAGCATTTTAGTACAAGAAAGAGGTAACAAGGCTCAGAGCTGGAAAGAACACAAAAGTTCCCAGGAGGGCAGTAACTGCGAGAGAGCGTCACAGATGAGGAAATGGGGGGAGTGGGAGAGCACGGAAGAATATGGGAGATGACGAGGACTCAAAGGAAGAAATTGCATGGGAAACCACAAGGCTGGGAATAAATCTGAAATATGTTTAAGAAACACAACCTATAGGGTGAATAAGCAACATGAGAAAAAAGAATACAATTGTGAACAAGGTGGTAGGAAAGTGGACACCGTGGGGATTGATTAATACACTTTATTGCCCTGGAGTACTCAGGAAATAATCCACATACCTTCTTTTGAACAATAAAATGTTTAATTTAAGTATTTTGCATTTATCTTTAAGAGTTTGTGTTTGAGAATAATTAGCTCTTGCGATTCTACTATTCTCTATGTATGTAAGTTATCACTCTTATGTCTTTCTTCTGTTTGAATAAATGAAAAACAAGAACAGAAAACCCAATTATTTCTAAGATCATCACTTAAAGTAAATATGTTGTAAAAATTCCACCAACAGGAATTAACCTATGCTTCTCATGTGTTGTCTAACTTCTATATCTACAGCTCAGCAGAATTATTT